AAAAATAATGCATCAATTTATATACCCTCCGAATTTAAAAACGAAATTGCCAATATATAATAACTTAATTAAGTACCATAAAATTAATTAAAACTAATTCTAAACATAAATATCTTTCATAAAATACGACGATTATCCATAATTCCATATATCGTTAATTAATCCAAGAAAAATAACTACCCAAATCTAAATTAACAATAACGCCTTAACTACATTTATCCCATATATAATATATTAATATACATAAAATCTATATTATAAATATATAAAATTATATATATAAATAATTAATCAATTATATTAATATATAAAAATATATAATTTACAATTAATTTTTCATAATATATTTAATACAAAATAACATATTTTAAACACTATCTAATAATTACGATTATCAATACCTATACACTTAGTCAATATCTATACACTTAGTTGCATATCCAATTAAACCACAACCATTTATCGATTTATCGACATAAAACATATTTAAACAAACAAAATCCCCCAATAAAAATAATAGATATATATATATATATATTATTAATATTAACAAAAAATCCTTCGTCATTAAACTCCTTTTCAATTTTAAAAAGAATTCCTCCATTCTTTTCCAATAACGGCCGCCCCGCAACCCTCCACGGCCGTATCCTCGAAGCCCTACTCGTTTCCTCCCAGGCTGCCCTTGAAGTTCCTTGCCCAAAAAATCAATTCATTTCAATGTTCGCCTGCTCTACAACGGACAAACCTAATCCATAATATGTTAATTCATCCAACATCAAGCCAAATTCTACATTGGAAAACTTCAAGGCCTCCAATATATATATATATATATATAATATTTCATTATTCTCTTGGCGCCACTTCCTGCTCCGCACTTTTTTTGGTCCTTCTAGAATAGCGCCTTGATCGATCACCACATCCTGGGCTTCGTAAACCACTGACACATTTTGCATTAATTGCTCCAACGTTTCGCCTCTACCGCCAGAGCTAAAGGCAAGGTGTGACCTGGTCGATTCAAAGTCAATATTGTCTTGATTTATGTTCTGCTGGCTTTAACACAAACTAAAGGAGCCCGAATTCTTGAGGCCGCCGTGGCTGCGCGGGTTTGCAGCAGCTGCTGCTGCTGCTAGCTTTGTTACTGTCACGGGAACTGCTGTTGGTCTATGGGTGAGGTTTGGGTTTGCGCTCGTGCCTGCAACACCTTGCACGCCCTCTCTGCAGCAAGCTGCCAAGAATCACGTTTGGGCCTGGCCTTGCTTCTCACTTTTGTTCCCCCGATGGTGGCCCAGGTGGCTCAACACAAATGCCATGAACAGTGCTGTATGCCACCAAGCCAACAACCGTTCAACCCAACGTGCTGTGCAACAGTTGCAGCGTGTTGTAAACACCAGTGTAAAACAATGTACTGTAAAAGGCCACTTCTGCAGGAACTACTGAACAACCTGGTTTCCATGCGCAATGAGCGCAGCTGCTGCAAACTGCAAGTGCATATTCTTGTGGACCTCGTTCTGGTTTGCTAAGCACAAAACCTTGATAGCTCATGATCGACTGGTCACACATGAAGTTCACGAGTTCATGATCGTCCATGTCTGCTCTCAAGCCTTCTCCTTGCTTCTCGTCTGACGGTTCTCCATGCCCATCTGCTGTTTCTAGGAACTCCAGCCATGGGTTTGAGGCTTGAATCCCAAAGCTGGATTTTAAGGAGCTTCAAATGCAGAGCGGCTCAAGGCCAAAGAAGAGGAAGCGCTTAGGAGAAAGAAGCGTCTCCGTCCAAAGTGCTCTTGTTGGCATGAAGGCAACACCGTGGCAGGTGCTGCCAGCGCTGCCATCAGTATCCACCATCTGGGAGAATGGTGCATGATTGCCCTGTGGACCACTCCGCTGCCATCTCCAGATTGAATGTGCGGCCTTTTGCTTCTCGAGCCACTGTGGTAATGATCTAACAGCACTTCTTGATCTGTGCGTGCCATCCATACATGTAGTGTCTATGCTGAAACGCGACAGTTGCACACCTACATGTATGCATCATGCGTCCGCACATCCAGCCATGCAAACACACATACACACATGCCAGACTCAAACAACCCTAGCGTGAACACACTTGCTGGGAGCCACGCACGGGCGGGACGGCTTATAGAGATGCATGCAGCTCCTACAATACTAAAGTCCTAGTATTTTGTGCCGGCAAACATTCAATCAGCAGCAACTTTTTACTTCTTGTGATGTCTGGGCTGGGTGCTATTTATTCATCTTCAAGAATATTTTTAGGGTGAAACATTTGCCACTCATTGACTGAAGGAAGGCAGGCCCATAGCGCTGCCTGACGATAGCTGTGGGCAACCTTTGCTTGAAATAGCTTTGTCCTTCACCTAACAGCAATGGCCTCCAACCTAAATGGGTTTCAAGGGTGAGAAAAGGCAAGCGATTGAGGCTGAAAACAAAGGAGTTGAGAACCTTCTTCAAGCAACGCTGTGACTTGACTTATTGTGCATTCACCAGCCTCCTTCCTTGCATTTCCATTGGGAAGAAAACGTCACAAGAATGCACGCCTTTGTCCTTCCCATCTCCGTAGGACCAGGTTCCCAAGTTGCTTTCCTGCCACAGTGACAAATGATGCCATGTTCATTGTTCATAGCCCACTTGAACAACGTGACCCGCCTTGTTCTGCTTCTCCTGCACTTGCTTCAAACTGGCAAGTAGCTCGGAGACCTGCCCGGTTACGGCGCTCTGAGCAAAACCAAGCGAGGCCTTCGTGTGACAAACACAGGCGCCTCATCGGTGTCATCCAAGAAGAACTTCGCCGCACTTGGCTTTCGTCCCACTGTGCACGTGAAGAACCTCCGTGCATAAATTGGAGAGCGAGGCAAAGGCACAAAACGATATACACTAAACACATCCCTAAAAGTCCAAAGACTTTGCATTTCTTGAGTGCAGTGAGGGAAGTTATAGTCTGCTTATAGTCGCTTTCAGGACCTCAAGGTAACCTTAAAATCGCAGCATACTCCTTGCATCGGACAAGGTAGTTCCATCACAAGCCTTGCATGGAAAAGAAGAGTTCAGAGAAGCCATGCAACGACTTCGCATCTTTTTGGTTTTCTCCACCAGGTATGTGGTTGCGCCCGTTCAAGCCTTTCCTTCTCCCAGCAGTCACCCTTCGCGCCTGCGACTGGCATGTTCATCACCGCCTTCACCAAGGCCTGACGACCAAAAAGGAAAGAAATAGAAACGACCCTGCTCCTACTTAGTGAAGTAGAGACTACATACTCCATTAAGGGAATAAGCTACTAGCAACTTGAGCTACTACATATGGACGCAGGACAGCGCTCGCACAATTCATTTGGTTCCTAGATTTTGAGGAAACTTAACTTCAAATAAAAAAAGAAGCCTGTTCCAAGTCAAAGAAGACTCGTTTCTCCGGGCACCCCAGCTGGAAAGTCCACCGCCTAAGCTACCTCGCATATTCTCGGTGAGCCCGCACAGCCCTGAGGCGCTCTTGGCTGTCGAGCCAAGAAGGATAAAATTATCAAAGCCGAGATGGTTTCAACCTAACGGCACTGGCCTCCAACCTACTAGAATCCTTTTCTCAAAGTCGAGATGGTTTCAAGTTCCACAGTTCACTGCCTCCCAGCTTGCCGCTACTTTGTCGCTTGGGCCTCAAGCTGTGCGCAAATGCGCTGCGAATGCGTTTTCGCCCCGGTGAAGAAACGCACTGAGGATCAAGCAGCAAGACTTCGGACTTTGCTTTCAGCCGTGCCTTGGAGCGATCAATCTAATTAAAGGAGCCCCTAGTAGCGTCTTTGCTCCTAGTAGCGATGCCAGGAGCCCCTAGTAGCTTCTTGCTCCTAATCAAGTACAGTAAGTCTGAGGCCATAGCTAGGTCGAAGGCCATTGCTATAAAGACACAATCAAGCAAGTTTTGCTCCTCCAAACGGTCACCCCCTGCCGGTGTCTCTCGTTTGGGTTCTGACCATACCGAACTCGTCATTCTCCGAACTTAGTGAGCGCTGCCAAAGAATCATGCTCCCGCAGCAAATGGGATTGACAATCACGAGTATCAAGTTAGAAAAACTCTAGTGATTTGATCGACAAAAGTCCAACCAAAGGACCAAGGTGGTGAATCCTCTCATCAAGTTTGCACAACTCTGGGCACTGCGACCTGTCTGTGGTGCTTCTCTGCGACTCAGCCTCCACAGAAACATATTGCCCGTCTTTGTGTGACACGTTGGCACTTCGGGATCTACCTGCCTCCTCATCTTCAGTCGGATCGATCAGGTTGACGGCTTCAAACATGTCCTGATTCGAAACCAAGTGTCGCATCTCGGACGACTTTCTGACGGGGCGAAATGATCCCTTGAGGAACGAGCCCTTGGGAGCCCCTAGTAGCGTCCTTGTTCCTAGTAAGGCCAGGAGCCCCTAGTAGCT